ACACAACTACAACACAGGAAAAGACCCAGGGAATATCCGACCCAAACGACTGGGTCCGAGGCCCGGGGATTGGGGACCGCTGCTGTATATATCTGCACGCATGCCTCTCAATCGAAAGCAGGTCTGCACTTGTTACTGAATGCAATGTTTTCACAGTGGAAGTCAAAGATATCAAAAGTTTATTTTCTCATCAAATCAAATAGAAAATGTGGATGCTACAAACACACGAGGACAGGACGGTGAGATCTGTGCCTCCATGCCTGCACCACACAAAAATTATTCCACAACCAATCATGGATACAAAGGATTAAATGTTTGACAGTGCTCATGTGGAGTACCTTTTTAACAATAAATGCATGTGCTCCTTTTGATCTGGTGATGACTGAACAGAAATCAATATGGCTTCCATTGAAAATGATCTGAAAGAGTGACGATTCCAGCTGAGCAGTGAAGGTGACGTTACCCATCAGAATTCATTAGTTCACTCATCCCTCCACATCTCCAGGTGGTCCAGGTGGTCCAGTGGGCCCTCACCAGTTCACTGCTCACAGAGTGGATGTGGGAAGCACCATTTATGAGACCACAAGGTTAATTACTAACTCACAAACTCATCAGAGCTCCTGTTTCAGAGAGTTTGCACGGTTTCCCTCCAAATCAGGCTTCTTGCTCTCCGTTTTCTTCTTGCTCTTTCTCTTAGTGTTGACCTCATTCTGCTGCTTGTATTTGGCATCATCCTTGTTGGCAGCCTTCCCTGGAAACACCTGTCCCTCTACAGTAACATCTACGCAGCGCTCTTGAGCCACAAGGAAGTCTTTCACCTCCCAGGCAAAACTACCATCTCGCAGCATGAAGATCACCCTGTTGGAACCCACCACGAACCTACGAGAGGAAACATTCAGTTTTATTAATAAAGCACCAAATAACAACAGCAGTTGCCTCAAGGCCCTTTGTATTGTAAGGTAGACCCTACAATAATGCAAAGACCCCACTATTAGACGCCCCGCTCTGAGCAAGAGCTTTGGCGACAGTGGGAAGGAAAAATAATTAACCTCAGTGTGTGAAGAGGACTCTCCATTTACATG